ACCTTTGTTTTTTATTTCTAATTCTTTGGTTTTCTCTTGAGTTTTATTGAACAGAAGAAGTACGAAGCGTTACAGTAATCTTTTGCAGATGAGGGAATTATATTTTCAGTCCACTATTTTGAATAAACTCAACTCACGCAGTTCGCATCACACCATATCATTTATAGCACCGATTGGACGATTTATTTTATGTACCTGGCAGCGGAGCAGTTGCGGCACCGGTTTCACTCATTGTTTGTCTAAAAGACTTAAACATACGCAAATCTGTGTATGTCGTTGCACTTCAAAGGGATTTCTTGAACAAACTTACATGTTCGTTGTCGTCTTCTTCTTCTGCTATCGCTGCAGCTGCTGTTTATATGTGTAACCAATTTTAATCTGGTTGCTTATGATCTGTATTAGAATCAAAGAGGAAGAAATTAGCACCTAGGTTAATCTGCAATTGAAGCTTTGAAATTGATTTTTAATTTTTGGCAAAGAAGAAAAAGAAGAGGTTTATATGTCTCTTTTTTATTGTGCGAATTTTTGTTATTTGTAAACTGCGAAAATTTTATTGCATTTTTCCAAACAAGGCTTACAATACTCAGCTGCAACAGGTTGACTTTTGAAAACTTTTCAATGAACCAAATGAAGTGACCAGAGACATCCAGCAAAATAATTTTTTTTGTTTACATAACTTTTGGGATTCGTTTTTCATTTGGTTCAAGGTATTAACTCCAATTAATCCTAGTAAGCATGCTTTCATTTTATCAAAAAAAGTTCTTTAGCTATTCTGAACTGCTTTGCTCACTTGAAAAACCTTAGCTTAAACCAATATTTATCGTTTTTTTTTTGCCTCTAAGCTTGTTGACAATGGTATAATTTGTGCCGACAAAATAGTTCTTTATTCTTTACAGACTATAAACATCTGAGGAACTGTGTTGTATATACTTATGCTATTATTAAAAGTAAACATTGAGGGCGTAAATGAACAGCGTTGAGATTTTCATCTTTGAATCATGTATTTTTAACGATTTATGGCTGTTACAATTTTTTTATCTGCTGCCGAAAGCGTGTATATTTTTTTATAGAATATGATATGCTGAAGAACGGACGTACCTCGAGCTGGCAGTCATAACTTATCGTGTGTTCTGTGTGTGTGTGTGTGTGTGTGTGTGTGTGTGTGTGTGCGTCTGTGTTTATTTGTTTATGTATGATCTTTGATTATTTGAACTGTAAGATGGATGTGTCGTATGGAGTGATGAGGATGTAATAGTCCATTTTTTGATTGATTATTTTGAAATGAAAATTTATTTTGCTGTTTCGGTAATAACTTCCTGTTTCTTTTTTGTATCTTTCAGGTTATTAGTTGTAGGGCTGTTAAAAAGATTGGAACGGTGAAAAAATTAAAAAAGAAGTAAAAA